GTCAGTTCCACTCTGTACGGGGGTGGGGGTCACCACAGAACAGAATAGACACGGCGACCTGGCAACAAGTCTCCATTTAGGCTGTGGTGTTCTCCTAATGACTTTATTACAGTTAAGTTAGGCCAGTAAATATCAGTTAATTATGAAAATGAAAACAGAAAAATGGCCAACAGAATAGTCTTTAATGGTTATAGGCACAGCAGGGGAGGGGAAAGAAAATCGTTAATTAGGTAGTAGACACAAACACAAGGGAAACAAAAAAAAAGGAAGGAACTGGTATTTTGTGTCTGCATGCTTGTTTGGGCCATGAGCATTTATTTGTCTCTGAATATACTGTGGTTTGCTTGTTTTAAAAAACTTGACCTTGGGATTAGAGTGAGCATTCACAGAGCACACTGTCTTCCCAGTCACCCATCCCTGTGTCCTTTGTGCCATGACTGATTACAGTCCCCACAGAGGAGCAGCACTCTGCCCATTCCCTCCGTGTGTTTCCTGTTTTCATTTGTCGTCCTGTCCTGCCTCCTGAGCTGTATCCCTGGACTAATGATACACTCTGGATCTGGGGTGTTTGGGTATTGTCAGGAGAGCGTACTGCTCAGTGTTACTGATCACTGTGGGGAGCTATCTGTCTGTTGGGTGAGCCATGGGGGTGATTTCAACACCCACTGGAAAGGCATGCTGCTGTTGTGAAAACATGTGTTAGAGGACGTTCTCCTTAGCCTGGCTGGCTGCTGGCTGGGGCTGGATTTTCAGGAGCAGATGTTCAGGCCTTTCTTCCAAGGTACCCCCTGGGTGGATTTGAACTTCACACCTTTCAGATGGCAGTCAAGCATGTTAACTGTTTGCATTACTCACAACTGCATTCTGAATTCAGAACTCAGACTCACTGCTATCAAGTAAGAACCAGTGCATAACTGACTCTCCAGCAGGTCTCTGAGGCTGTAAATCATATGGGAGGACACTGCCCGCCTTTCTCCCTCAGAGCTGCTGGTGGATTTGCACTGGCGGAGAGGCATGGCCTTTGGGTTAGCCCCTCAATTCCCTACCAGCTACTCCACTGGTACATGTCGTTGATTTAATGTTTGTTTTGTCTGAGTGTCACATGGTGGCTGATCCTGCAACGTCCTTCAGGCCTGTTGATGCTCACAGTGGCCCGGTGCACAGCAGAGTGAAACCCTGCCTGGCCCTGTGCTGGCCTCACGGTCACTGCCGCGCTCCAGCCCCTTGCTGTGGCCACTGTCAGTCCATCCCACATAGGGTGTTCCTCGTGCTGACCCTCTGCTTTCCACATGTGATGCCCTTTCAAGAGCCTGGCCTCGCCTGGTGACGGGCTCTGTGTACATGAGGCAGTCCCACCAGCTTTGTCAGATCATTTTATGTATTAGATCACATTTTATATATGAAATCATCTTATGATTTAGCTCACACGTCACTCCAGAAGAGAAGTGCTTCCAAAGTTAGTAACAGTCAGAAAAGGCCTTCACTTACGATAACTCAGTATTTATTCATTCTGAGGCTTACTCCCTTATATACCAACTGTCATGGAGTTGATCCCGATTCATAGCAATCCTGTAGGATGCAGTCATAATACAAGCTCACAGCCACAGAGTCCTTTTCAACTGCTCGCGGCCCTCCAGCAGGTATTCGAGGATGTAATCCTAACAGGAGAAGAAGACCCACCTTTCTGCCTTGGAGCTGCTGGTGGATTCGAACTCCTTAAGATACAGTTTTGATTTTGTTTTGGTGTGTGTCAGTGTGTTTGATATTAGGCTGTTTAATCAGAAGTTTGATAATTTGCATCTATCAACTGTTCCTTGGGAGAAAGACAAACAGTGTCTTCCGGTAAGAGTTGCTGCCACTGGAGGGTCAGAATCAACAGTAGTGGTACATTAATCTTCCCAGAGGCAGATGCCCCATCTTTCTTCAGTGGAGCGGAGGGTGGGTTTGAACAGCCAGCTTGTGAGGTCACAGCTGAATTGTGTAACCACTGCACTTCAGGGCAGCTTAACACTGTGTGGGACTGTTAAATGTGGAAACAGCTTGGCCCTTGCCTCAGAGAATCCGAGGTCATTCTGAAAAGCATTGTCAGCACAGACAGTTCACGGTGGCTGGATTCTAATAATTCCATTACAGTCTGGCTCCCATGCTGGTGTCCTTGGAATACTAGCCTTTCGTTTTCCCAGCCTTGTGTGTCCCTACAGTGGATGGGAACGCGGCCCTTTGTCTTGTGCCACATGCCGTGATTTCTGCTGTGGATGGCACTCAGCAGGGACAAGTAGGATTCATGAAGCAGCTCCAGGCACGGCACAGTTCACAGCTCCGTCGGACTCTTGTGGAGTCCGTTGTTCTGGTGCATAACATGCTGGGCTCCCAACCAAAGAATCTGAGGTTGGAATCCAGGGGAGAAAGATGTATGTTCTCCTCCTGTAAAGATTTAAAGCCTCTGAACCCTGTGGAGGGGGACCACGGGTCAGAATTAGCTCAACAGCAGTGGGTGTTTCTGGCTGGAATTCCTGGTGGTGCAGTGACAGAACATGAGGCTTGCAGGTTACATTCTCCCAGAGGTGCTTCAGGAGAGCTTTAGTGATCTGCCTCCGAGGCCACCACAGCCTGGGAAGCTCTGCGGGGCAGCTCTGCTCACCAGCCGATAACCCAGAGGAACCAGCACACTCAGCTGCTAACCTAGAGGTTGGGAGTTCAAGCCCACTCAGAGGGGCCTTGGGAGAAAGGGCCAGGGAGAAGTGCTGGCTCCTGTTAGCCACCTGCTTCCTGACAGTCCCTAAAAACCCCACAGAGCACAGCTCCTCTGACACCCATGAGGTGACCATGCGTCAATGCAGGGTGCCCCTGCCGTGGTGTGGTCCTGACGCAGACAATGGGCACCTGGGATGGGCAGCATGATGGATCAGGGCGCTGGTGAGATGTCTGCCAGTCCTGACGGGGTTGACTCTTTCTCTCCCCCAGATCTGAGCCTGAAGATGGGGTGCGGTCTGCTGCTCAATGTGGGCCACCAGATGCTGCGCCGCAAGGTGGTGGACTGCAGCTGCGAGGAGAGCCGGCTGTCCCGCTGCCTCAACACCTTCGACCTGGTGGCCCTGGGCGTGGGCAGCACATTGGGTGCCGGTGTCTACGTCCTGGCTGGGGCTGTGGCCCGTGAGGACGCCGGCCCCGCCATTGTCCTGTGTTTCCTCATCGCCGCGCTGGCCTCCGTGCTGGCTGGCCTGTGCTACGGCGAGTTCGGAGCCCGGGTCCCCAAGACGGGCTCGGCCTACCTCTACAGCTATGTGACTGTGGGCGAGCTGTGGGCCTTCATCACAGGCTGGAACCTCATCCTGTCCTACGTCATCGGTGAGTCACACTCCCAGCCCTGGTGCCGTTTCCGCCAAGGCATAGAAGGTGGGAGGGCAGTGTCTCTCTAGTTACAAACTATTATGGCCAGATTTTAATTAGCTTGGTGGGGGTCCTGGTGACGTGGTAGTTAAGTGCTCAGCTTCTAACCAGAAGGTCGGCAGTTGGAACCCACCAGCCGCTATCTGGGAGAATGGGGAGGCAGTCTGCTTTTGTGAAGATGATGGCCGTGGGACCCCTCTAGGCAGTGGTCCTCTGCCTGCAGGGTCTCCGTATTAGCTGTGGGGCTGGCCCACTGCCTGTGGTCCCCGCATGGACACAGTCAGTGTTGGTCTGGACGGCAGAGGCTAATGCTTTTCCTGGGCCCTGTCCTGCTTCTGTTCTGCTCCAGGTACTTCAAGTGTGGCCAGAGCCTGGAGTGCAACGTTTGATGAGCTCATTGGCCGGCCCATTGGGGAGTTCTCAAGGACTCACATGAGCCTAAATGTTCCTGGGGTGCTGGCTGAAACCCCCGATATATTTGCTGCCATCATCATCCTCATTTTGACAGGTAATGTGGTGTGCTTAAGGGGTGGCTGGCGTGCTGGGCCGGGGCTCTCCTAAGGGCTGCTGGGGCGGGGGGCAGGTGTGCACTTGCTCTTTTCCTTCACCCTCTTCTATTTTATTTGAATTATGATTTTAACCTTTACAGAGATGTTAAACTTTCATTCATTCTTGCACATTTTACCCGGTCACCTTCCCTTCCCCTCTCCCAGTTCACTTTTTTTTTAAATATGCGTTCATTTTTTTAAATTATTATTACATTTTATTAGTTTTAGTGAACATTTACAGAGATTTTGGGTTTTCATTCATTCATTGTTGCAGTGTTTTCTCTACCCTCCTCCCCAGTTCGTTCTTCTTCCCCCCCCCGAATGTGTTTTAATTGTCCCATTGCCACAGTGCTTGTCGAAGCCAGTTCTGATTAATCTCCTTTGTCAGTGTGTCCTTTGCCATTCCCTATCTCTCCTCCCTGAGAGACTTCACCCTGATTCATAAGGAAAAGGGGATGGCGTATTCTCTTAGCTACTTCCAAATACGCATTCATTGGTGCACCATTAACTACCTCTCCTCCACCCTAGTCCTCTTTGCAATGATGTACCTCTTATTCTGGGCTATTGTTGTATGTATAATGCCTAATTTTATATTCATTTTGCATAGTTCTTTCTTTCATCTGTTCCAATGCAATGGTCATTATCTTCTCCCCTCTTATCCTATTCTCCTGCCAACCCACCCTGTCAAACTTGCAGTGGTGCTATGCAGTATTTGTTCTTTTGTGACTGAGATATTTCACTCAGCATGATGTTCCCCATGTTAATGTTTTAAAAGTTCATTTTTCAGTGCTGCATGTTGTTGTTGTTGTCTATCCTTTCATTTTTTGGTAGACACTTGAGTTGCTTCCATCTCTTTGCTATTGTAAATTATGCAACAATAAATATGGGTATGCATATATCTATTTGGATGGTGGTTCTGGTTTCTTTCAGGTACATTCCCAGTAGTGGAATTTCTGGGTCAAATGGTATTTTTATTTCCAACTTTTTGAGAAAAGTACCAAACCACCATTTTTACACTCCTACCAACAGTGAATAAGCGGTCCAATCTCTCCTCAACCTTGCCCGTATTTGTTGTTTGCTGTTCTGTACACATGTTGCTGCAAATGATGGCTACAGCCATCTTGCACATTTTAATTAATAAAAAAAGGAACATCATTCGACATCAATGATTGATGCTCAATTTCATATGGTAGTCATAAACAATTGAAAAAAATGTGTTTCTAAGTACGGTCATCTATTTAAAAGTGCGTGGCAATGTGTTAAACTTTATTATAGTTACTGAGGTGAGATGATATCTCATAGTTTTGATCTGCATATCTCAGATAGCTAGGGGATTTTTAACATTTCTTCATGTGTTTGTTCGCCATCTGAATGTCTTCTTTGGTGGACTTAATGGCTTTTTAATAGACTTACCTGGGGTTGTTCTCTGTCTCATAGTCAGTAGGTTTAATGAAAAGAGAATCTCAGATCTCCTGGGTGGCACAATTGGTTAGGGCATTCAGCTACTAGCCACAGGTTGGTGGTTCAGATCTGCACAGGGGCTTCTTGGAAGTAAAGCCTAGTGCTGTACTTGTGGAAAAACCAGCCACTGACAGACAGCGAGGCACCTTTTTGATCTGATGCACATGGGGCCACCCCGAGTTAGCGTTATTCTGACAACAGCTGGTTTTGAGGAACAAGATCTTGGTCTCAGGGCCAGGCATTTATTCCTGGGGACCCAGGAACAAAGACTTCTGTGAACTTGGAGGATGACCATTTGGAGAAGGAAGTTCTCAAATCAGACCAGCTGCCCAGGAATGATCCATGTGTATCTGGCACAGAGAAGTTGGCCTGAGTGTTTAAAAACAAGCATAATTGTTTGTACAATCTACAAAGCCTCCTTCACATAAAGTTCATGTCCAAGTACACTTCCTTCACATAAAATTCATGTCCAAGTACACTTACCAAATTTTAAAAACTCAAATGCCACTTGAACACAGCTGATGACAGCTTTATTTTGGAAAAGAATACTATTTTTTCTGAGTGGTTATATGGTAGTTTAGGGCACAAGCGTGTTCATTGCTTCCATTCTAGTTGTTATGTTTCTGTTGCTCTAGTTTCCCTGCCCCTCACCTTCCCATCGTAGTTTTAAAGTTATTGATGACCACTGGTCTCATTGGATTTTTTTTTTAATGAACACAGTACTCATGGGTTTGTTGTTTTGTTCTATCAAGTTCATGTCAACTTATAATGACCCAAAGAACAACAGATCTGAACTTCACCCTATCCCGTGCCACTTCATGATCTCCAACATCAACATGCCTTTTTTATGGTCACTGTGTTAATCCATATCATCGGGGGTCTTCCTCTCTTGTACTACCCTACCCTTCCAAGCATGATGTCCTTCTCCAAGGGCTAGTCCTTCCTGGAAACTTGCCCAAAGTGTGTGAGATGAAATTTCACTATCTTGTCTCTAAGGAGTACCATTGTTGCGCTTGCTCCAACAGAGACCTGTTTGTTCTTCTGTAACACCACTATTTAAGGACACCAATAATTCTTCTGTCATCATTATTCATTGCTGACTTTCAGATACTAAGAAGTAATTGAAAAGACCATGGCTTGAATGAGGCACAGCTTAGTTGTTAAACTGTCATCATTGCTCTTTAGCACTTTGGAGAGGTCCTTGACAGTAGATTTTTCCAATGCAACATGTCTTCTGATTTCTTGACTGCTTTTAACATGAGTGGATTTAAGCAACATGAAATTGTTGGCAACCTCATTCTTTGTCCATCTATCATAATGTTGCTTACTGGTCCAGCATGGGAGATTTTTGTTTTCTTGATGTTGAGATTTAATCCATATAAGCTAAAATCTTTGATCTTCTGCAGTAAGTGGTTTAAGTCTTCTTTACTTTTGCCAAGCAAGGTTATCTTATTTGAAAGTTGTTGATGAGTCTTCCTCCAATCTTGTTGCCACATTATTCTTTATGTAGTCCAGCTTCTTGAATAATTTGCTCAGTGTACAGACTGAATAGGTATGGAGGAAGGACAAGAACAGGGCAGAGGAATATAACTTTTTATTTTCAAAACCCAAACCCAGTGCCATAGTAGGACAGAGTAGAACTGCCCCTAGGGTGAGGGGATGTCTGTGGCTGGGAGCAGTTTGCAGCTGGTGGGTTTGAATCACTGGCCTTTTGGTTAACAGCAAAGGGCCTCTAACTTCTTATCAATTATGTTTCCATGTATCACAGACCCTTAGATGGGGGCTGTGTCCCATATGGCATTTGCTATGTGAACACTGAGTGGAAATACAGACACAGTATTAGTTAAGGCTAGGAAATCATGGACAGGTCTTTATATCAACCTACCTTATTGTACACATCACATCACTGAGGGAATCTGAGGTCATTCTTCGTAGCATTTCTAGTCTAGTTGGCAAAAACATGTCTCATTGACAAAAATCTCTACTTGTGGGAACTTCATCTTAACAAACATGGGAGGAAAGAACACTGAGGGAAAAAATGCCTGAGACTGGAGAGGGAGGAGTCCAGCCTGTGGTCAACTGCACAGTTCCCTTCTAACACCTGCATTTTTTAATTTTAAAAAGGTGCTGTTGTTGTCTTCTTCATTGCAAATATACAAAGCAAAACATAAAAATAAAAGCAAAAGCAACCTCTAGATGTTCAGGGACACTGATTGGATTCAGGTATACCCCATTCTCACCTTCTTTTCTGAGTTCTTCCTCCCTCATGGACATTAATTCACTGATCTCCAAGGTGCCTCTCTGACCATTAAAATTGTTCTTGTCAGTTGGATCCTATAGAGAGTTCTTTTAAAACAGCACCTCCTCAAGGCTGTTCTTTACTAGGTAAGTTAAAGTGTATGATTTTAACAAGAGGTCATTTGGAACTTTTTACTTAAAAATTATGTTGGGTCAGTAGTATTTGAGATTCATGCAGTCTCCACGACTCTAAAAAGTCTTGCTTCCATTGTTGCTGTTTTGTATACCATTGAGCTACAACCAACCTATAGCTGACCCTCCTGCGGGTTTTCAGAGGCAGTTCATCCATCGCACAGGAGACTGTGGAGATGGTGGCCTTGAACTGAGTGCTTTTGGGATTGCAACACAGCTTCCTGGCACTAGGTCAATTCTCTTCTGCTTAATTCCCCTTTTGGTTAGGATTCTCTATAGTGTTTTTGGCCAACATTTTCACATCTCTTCTGGTCATATGGCAAAGAAGACAGTTATTCACAGAAGCAATTAGCCACACAGCCCGTGTCTTCATCTGATTCTAGACTCTCGATTTTTAGATTTTAATCTCTGTGTGCTGCATATTTCATTTTAAAATGTGAGAAAGGCATCTGTGGAAGAGGAGTCATCTCAGATAACAAATAGTGGTTGGGTGTTGGAATCTTCCTGTGACCCTGTCTCTGGGTCAGCAGGGTTACCTCTGGAACTTCCAGAATGATATTTTTACTGTAAAGTGCTCCACACGTGACCACAAGTGCCTCTTGTGGCAGCACCAGAGGTTGCGCTGTCAATAGGTTCCTGTATGTTTCCATTACTGCATTTTTTTTTCATACAAGGACTTAAAAAGGGCTGCTTAGGCTTAGATGTATTTTATAGGCACTGAGTACAACAAAGTCTCTGCTGTTCTTCAAAACATGTATTGTTGGTCTTAAAGCCACAAATGTCAACACTAATATTATGAATGTCTCATTGTAAATCAGAATAAGGTCCTATTCCCCAAATTGGAGAAAATAAAGTCCTATACAGACTGTATATGCCAGTTATAAACTTCCCCCCACATAATTATGATGAAATATGTTTGTTTTTGTTATGTGCCGTCGAGTCGCAACTCATAGCGACCCTATGTACAACAGCCCTAAACTCTGCTCTATCCTGTGCCAATCACACTGTCTCTGACACACTCATCCCAATTACCCCAGTCACTGAATCAATCCACCTCATAGAGGGCCTT